TATCAACTCGCTCAAATATGGAAATGCGCCGTGAAAACGCCAGATGCGACTTTTTGGTATCTTTCTGGTCTCGACCTCTGCAAGAGGGAGTTGTAAATGGAAAAGAGATGAGAATAGAAGAGAGTAGAGCAGAAAAGAGCAGAGAAGAGGTTGCGACACAAGCACCAGGCTTGTGGTGATAGTTTTTTCAATGGTGTCGTCGGAAGATGCAGTCGAAAAATCCGCTGATGCGGTGTCGACGCTTCGACTTGGCGGCGGGAGGACTTGATTCTGAGTTTTGTCCATCAAGACCCCTGGAGGTTGACGGTTCGGGTTGCGGCACGCGTTGGCTGACTTTGCGACGAGGCTTCTCGGATATGGGCTCAGAGTTGGCAAACTTGACCGCATTCTCAGAGTTTCTGTTCTGGACATGCCCATTACCGTTCATAAGGCTTTCGGATGGAATTGCCTCTAGGCCGGTGACCCCGTCGCGAGAGAGGTTATTCGGGGGCATGAAGCTGTGTCGTTGAGGTCGCTTGCTCCCCGAGCTCCGTCGGTTGGATCGTTCAATGAAGGCGGCACCCGTGGAGTTGGAACGTTTCGCCAACCTGGCAGAGGCCAGCGACTTGAGGCGCTCTGATGACAACGGGACATTGGACATGGACACGCGGTGTTTCCGTGGTGGGTTTTCCATTGGACCTTCCTTGTCGACCGAAAAGTAATCAGGGGCATGCTTGATGGTAGTGGGTGAAGCATGTCTGGATGCAGCAGGCGAGGAGATCTTCGAGTTCAACACCAGGGCAGAATCGTTGTAACTAAAGTTGTGTGACCAACCCTCTCGAAAAGCGACCCAGATACTGGTGATGATGATCAAGAGACGTAGATCATCATCCACAGCGATCACATTGCGATCTAGTGGAGTGTCGTCGGAACCGTCGCTGATCATGGACATGGCGGAGGTGGGGAGACTACTGGGAGCCACGGTAGGCATCGAGTATTGGTCAAAGACCTCGAGGTTGTTGCGAGTCATGCTAGCCAGCACTGGGTGGCGGCGAGTGTTGGGGTTGATGACGCTAAAGGTGAGTCGCTTGGATTCCGGCTGGACTGGCGAACCCGGGGGACCGGACACGCGACGGTTCTTCGATCCACGCGGAACCCACCGTAGCGTTTGGACACCCTGGGCCGTGCGTGCAACGAACTCATAGGCACCGTTGGGGAGGGGCGTTGCTTCCCACGCAGGACCGTGGTTGAAGCATATTTCCGCTTTCCCTTTGGACAAGTCCTCCTCGTTGAGCAGCTGGCAAATGGTTGCAACAACCTGTTGTTCATCGTCATCGCTGTCGTCGCCCTGCGACGTCCTATCTCTTGGGTCCGCCTCATACAAGTCGCTGGTGACGATGATCAGGTCATTGGGACCGAGGCCGTTCTTGCCACGAAAGATTGTGGGAAACTTGCGCGCGAGTCGGGGCAGGAAAACGGTCGAGGGGAGGACATCAAGGACGGGAAGCGGACGCGGAGTGTGAGACACCTGCTGGAGCTGCAACAGGAGCTTGGGGCGTATTTTGAAGCATCGATGATGGGCATGGCTGGCGGGGTGCGCCAGCTGGTAGGAAGTCTTGGGGCGCAAAGACTTTCTGACGGATTGCGAACGGCCGACGCGGGATGCGCGAAAGCCAGTATCGACGACAGAATGCTCCCCGTCGCTGGACAAGACGGATTCGGCAGGACTTCGTGTCATGTCGCGCAGGGTCGCACCCTGCGTTGCTTGTGGTTCCATGCCCTTGTATTTATTGTAGATGGTCCCTAAGCTCGGTAAGGAGGACAGAGCAGTCAATGGCGAGGAGGCTCTGGTGGGGGGATTGGAGAGCTGCGAAGAGGGTTGGGGGCCGACGAGATCGCTCTCGTGGGCAGCGGCGGCGTCAGCGGTCAATCCAAGATTAAACAGCATTCCTGAAAACCTGACGACCGCAAGGAGAGGATATCACAGGCGCATCGATAGACCAGTTGGTGGTTGGTTGTCGTATTTCGTGGATAGTCCTCACTGGAGCCAGGTCGCGGCGACGACCGGAGGGGATTGAGATAGAAATGAGGAAAGGAATGACAGAGTATAAAGAGAATAGAGACAAAGAGAGCAGCTCCTGAGATAGTGGAGAGAGGGGAAGATCAGGTCTCTGACTGACTGAAATGCAAGGAATAAGCAGATTGCAGGAGGGCAAAAAGAAAAAGGGAAAAGAACGAGGAGTAACAGAGATGATATATGGAAACCGGCCCCGTCACACTGTACAGAGTACGAAAGAGAAAGGGCGGTATCCGAGGATCCGTCAGCGATGGTTCTCCATAGACTATTAGGAGATGTAAATGAATGGAAAGTTCGATGCTAAATCTTCATCGCGTTTTCACACATGGAAGCCGATCCGTGGAAACGCAGACCGACTGGAGATCGGCAAGGCTAGTTTATGTCCGGCACTATTTAATTCACCCTCACCGTACCGATAATATGTTCCTGCTTTTACCTGATATTGCGTTGGGGATTCTTGTATATATCATAAATGATAGTGCAATTGTCCGATTAAAACCTGTTTCTTTTACAGTTCAATAATGATACAATGGACACCTGAGTAAGCAACAGGCACCATCGTATTATTATCTCTCAGCCCCGTGGGTCACCTGGTCTTGGCCCCCTCCCCGGTCGCCGGGAGGTCCGAAAACGCCGACGGAGGGTTCCAGTGCCGTGGCGGGCTTGCTATACTCCGACTGCCGAGCACTAGGAGCCGGATTATTCATGCTCCATGAGGATACATAGTAGCATGTATACGGAGTAGAGGATGAGAGATCGCCGACTCCAGTTATGGAGTATATACTACGTACACACATCCGTGCTCGGTCTGACAGGTCCCTGTCCGGAGACACGGAGACCAGAGTCGATGCACAAAGTGTATCACTGAGTTTTACCTAGCCCACTACGGAGTAATTGATTCATAACTGAGTAATGTCCCGTATAGAGCTGTGTCCTCCGCCATTGGACAATCGGGATCCTCGCGGTCTGTTCCGTAGGGCTGAGTCTGACCGAGGATCTGTTGTTCATCAATCAATACGAATACGATGCCAACAGTACATCTTACTTGTACAGTAGTATGCACGTAGACATCCTTTGTACTCCGTACAGCTATCCTACGTTGTTTCACTACCCCGTATGTATGATGAAATACCCCTTCGTAGCGCTAATGAAACGTTCGCCACGCCTTGGCATCGCCGCATGTGCTGATTAACACTAATTGAGTAGTTATGCCAGTTATGCATTTATGCATCCATGCAGCTATGCATCCAATGCCGAGGAATCCGACCACTTGGCATACTTACCCCATCCAGATATCACATGATGGAGAATACTTGCACTGACATAGTCGGGAACGCTGATTCATTGCCTCATACCATTCTCTGACTTATGATTATGCCGTCTGCAAAGCAGGTCGACCGGCCTTCACTGCTCAATCCTTCTCGGCCGCTCTGGAGTCTGACGGTCGCGTTTGTCCTGTGGAAAACGCTCATTTTTCTCGTCGTCACCGCTTGTCCTGGCCCCGGCTATGATACGTCCACCTCTCTGTTGCCCTATTTGAATTCGTCCCCAACGCGTCCCGCCGTGGATGCCGGCGTCGGCTCCACGCTTCCCCTCAAGTTCGTTCGTTGGGACCCCATTTACTTTGTCCATATTGTCCAGCATGGCTACGTCTATGAGCAGGAATGGGCTTTTGGCTATGGGTTTACCAGAATCTGGAGATTTTTTGCTTCCTGTACGTCTCATTCTCTATGTAAAAGGGCCAATCGCTAAATCTAGGTTTAGTCCTCAATCCTTCCGCGGAAGTCGGCAACATCGCCCAGGTAGCCTGGGTGGGCGTCGGGCTCGCCCACTTGGCCCATTATTTATCCGCCCTAGCCCTCTATAAACTTTCGGCCAACGTTTTTGGTCGCGAGACCCCGACACAGAGGCTCGTCTGCTTCCTGTCAGCGGTTCTTCATATCATCGCCCCGGCCGGGGCGTTTCTGTCTGCGCCTTACCCGGAACCTATTTTCTCCTTTCTTAACATCTTCGGTCTGTATCTCTACTCGTCATCATTCCTGGATGATGGCGCGGGGAGGAAATTACCTCGGGATGCCAAGCTGCTTGGTGCCGCCATATTCTTTGCAGTCGCGACCACTGTTCGCAGCAATGGCATCCTGAGCGGGTTCTTGTTTGCCTATGATGCGATTTGCCAACTTCGGAGGGTTATCCTCCACGGTTTGTCCCGGGACGTGGTCGTGCGTCTAAGTGTCCTTGTCTTGGGTGGCTGTGTTGTGGCATTGGGGATGGTTCTGCCCCAGTGGGTTGCCTATACGACATACTGTACGACCTGTAGCAGGCAATGGTGCCAATGGACGTTACCCAGTATATATGGCTGGGTGCAGGATCAATATTGGTAAGTGCCCCTCCATGGCCTATAGCGGGGGAACAGCGCACTGATTGGTATTGACAGGAACGTGGGATTTCTCCGGTATTGGACCGTATCTAACATCCCCCTTTTTCTCCTCGCTGCGCCCATGCTCATACTGCTTTGCTATGCTTCTCTCTGGGCATTGAGGATGCCTTGGGCCGCCGTCAAGGAACGGCCAACGACCGTACTTGATCGAGCAATGTCTCCCGAGGCCACCGATTCACTATTGATCCGCCTTGCAGTTCCCCAGGGCCTGCTTGCTGTGATGGCTTTTACAAGCTATCACGTCCAGATCATCAACCGTATCTCTTCCGGCTATCCACTGTGGTATTGGTACCTAGTATGCCTGGTCGTGAATCGCGCGGGAGAGTCACCGTCCACCGCCAAGTCTAACCGCCTATTTTCCATGGTGTTGCAAGCTATGGTGATCTATGGGCTTATCCAAGCTGTTCTTTACGGTTCTTTTCTTCCTCCAGCTTAGTAATGGCTGGAAATAGGCTGAGATTTTATACTAATGGCATGTCATCATTTCCTTTGTAAAATGTTTATCGTGTCGCGTGTACATCTGCCTGGGGAAAAAGAAACCCAAAGACACCTGTCAGTATAGAATTATTATCTATTATAAATAATTTCTAATGAGCTTCTACCATTAATACAAACTGAACTATCCATCCTCTGTCCTAACTCACTGGTTCCGGCCACTGCCTGACGCTGCCGCCGTTACGGCGAAATTATGTCATCAGCCATCTGAACCACGACGCCCGAGTGCACCCCCAGACAACTGCGTGTTCCTGCAAGGATCGGATTAAAGAGCCATCAGAAAGAGTCGTGGCTCATGTTAAACAATTATTGACGCGAAACACTGATCGGCGACTACACGACTATTCTGTTGCTTGAAATCGTTGTCCTTCAAAAAGCTCTTATCGGCTGGTTGAGCTATCCGGAATCAAAAAAACACTCCAGATTCGCCCATGCACAGCCTGGCAGTATTCAACAGCCTGGCCTCATATCTAATTGGGATATTCCCTATCATTTGAGCCTCTTCCATGCTTGCTGTGAGTGGATTCCTCGACTGCAGTGCTGGCCCGATGTTGAACAGGCCTAGTTGTTGCAGTTCGCTGACATCTTTCACCACCACCGCAGTGCCCTCCTCGAGAACCCTCCACGACACACCCCCCTTCCCTCTCGCTACGACTCGCTAACCTCATCCTCCCTCGGCCCTATAAACCATGGCCAACTCAGGCCCCAAGACACTACCGACCGCCGAGAACTTCCACAACATGCCACGAACCACCTCCGCTGAGCAACCGGCGGTGCTAAACGGCAAAGGTGAACCCAAGGCGCGAGTCCGTCCCCGTACCTACCCCTACTTCAAATATCTCCCATACACAACCGAAGATGAGCCCGCGCGAGAACGCAACCTCCGCGAGATCTTGGACCATCTCTACATTGCGGTGGAGGCGGGGGATTTTAGTCCCGGCGCTGTCCACTGGACTCGGGAGCTTAGAGCATGGTTGTCGCTGAAGTTTGATCCGGCTCGGACGGATAGGATTAATTTGGTGAAATTGTACTATGAACTTTCGTTGGCGCCGGGGATTGATCCGAATGTTGCGGAGCGGTTTGCTAGCATGTTTATGTTTTTGACGAAGTGAGTATTGGGACGCATGATATTTGGCATGACAGGGTGCTAATGATGGATACAGGCGGAAACACTATTTGAAACCAGTTAAGGACTTGGTTTTAGATTGGAAGCCTTTGTATAAGGAATTGAAGGCTTTCGTCCTGCCCACCGAGTCGGGTCTGGTCCATTCGACCAATCTGAAGCGGAACGTCAAGACCCTGACGAAGCTCTGTGCATTCGTCCAGCTCTATATCGACCCGTGCGAGGTGCCGGCCATGTTAGATGAATTTCTACCTCACTACACAACATCGTTCTCCGAAGGTGCTTTCGTGGTGGTGGGGTTGATCAATCTGATGCTTCCTACCTCTCCGCCCCCGGCCGACAGGGAAGATCTACTGCCACACCACTACCTGCCGACATACTTCCATCTTTGGTCACTGGTAGGACGGTCAAGGACCTTTGATACAACGTTCTTGGATTTCTTCTCTCGCCTGGCTCGGGATTGTCTGCCTGCGGATAACGTCCCGCTGTCTGAGTATGGTCTTTTCACCAAGGAGCAGTCGTCGCTGATTTTCACGGCTATCCTGAGATTACTGGAAATCCCAGTCGGACAGTCGACCTCTCCGTACAGTGCTCTTGTGGACATCTCCTCCGGGCTAGGCATTATGCTTGACCGTGACTCCCGAAAGCATCCCGTTGCGCATCACATTGCCCGCTGGGTGGTCATGTCCCTCTCGCCGGCCTGTCTCGAATCAGAGGAGTCGATCCTGTCTCAACTCGAGGGTCTTATCCAAGCAGTAGAGACCTTCTTCCACCCCTCGAACTCTGGTGGCTGGTCCAAGACACTGTCCCAGTTGG